AGCTGGCCCGACGATCTTGATTCCACGTTACGTTTGAGGCTCGAGGCTAAGTTCCTCGATCGAGAGAGACAGGCAGTGGATCTGGATTGAAATTTCGACGATCGAGGATTTCCTGGGTGCCTGGAGCCCTCCAGGCACTCAGGAAGCGACCAAACATCGATTTGTCCAGAGCTACTGCGACATTTTCGGCGTGTCATGGGACCGTTCCTTATTTCCTCAAAGGACCTTTGCGCGTGAAAGAATCATCATTCCTTCCCCACGCCTGCGCCCAAGCGTGCAAGCGCATCGGGCGAACGCGGAGTCAGCAAGCACCAAGGATATCAGGAAAAAAACCCGGTCGCCCGTACAGGCCTCGAGGTCCCTCCTGCTGAAGCAAGCGATAATTAATCGCTTTGCCGGGGAAGGTCCAGAACAAGGCGAATGGCGCGAAACACCAATGCAGTCTTGTACGCAAAAATCAACGGGGGAAATCCGCCCCCCCCCCCCCCCACACACACACACACACAAACACCCACACACACAAACAACACATCTCCCCTGATCTGTGGCCCTGGACACCCTTGGGCGCCCTTGCAGAAGATCAACCAAAATTTCCCGGACTTCTGGGCGCCCCTGTTGGGCCCAGCCCAACGGGCCCAAATCGGTCAGGAGGGTGGCCGGACGGCTTGGCGAGAGCTCCAAGAGACCTGATGCAGCCCCCAGACGACCGAAATGATAACCCGAAAAATACACGAAAAAAAATTCGAAATGCGAGACAACATTGGTCTCCAATGGGTTTTGTATGATGTGGGGACTGCTCTGTTCTTCGGTCTTCTGGGCGTCCGAAATCGCCCAGGAGGCCCGAGGATCGCCCAACAATTATCAAAAAAAGGTTCCCAAGAGAGCTCAAAGACTGCCCAACAGGGCCCCAAAATGGCCCGAGGAAAGCCCCACGGCCCGAAAACGACCCCCGAAGCATTCCAAATTGTGGTCTGCTTGTTCAGGAAGACGTCAATTTGAAGCAACGTGGCCCGAAGAAACCCCCAGACATTCCTTGAAGGCGCCCAGGAGGCCTCCAGAAGGCCCCAAGAACCCTTTTAAACAACTGTTGCGAAGCCTCCAAGGGAATCTTCAAGGATGTGCCTCCGGAAAAAATTGAGGACGGGGAAAGATCCGCAGGGTAGGGCGAGAATTATGCAGAGGAACAACAAACATGAAACACAAATAATTCATACCATGATTAAAAAAACAATTATGTCGGAACAAACTACAAGTAAACATATGACATGATCTGTTTTACATTATTGCTTTTCCGCCTGCGCACCGGATGTATAATACGATGGTGCGTGGCGAAACTAGCCCATGTAGTTTTGCAACCATTATACATGGATTACATACATGCATACAACCATACATACATGCATACCTAGACAAAACCATGCCGATACACCTTTATATAAACAAAAACGTATACGTATACACATACATATATATATATACAGTGTACATATATAGCATGTTACACATATGCATATGTACACCGATGTAGATAGATTCCTAGACACAATGTAAGTATGCATGCAAGTGTACATGTACATTTATATATATATGTAGATATATACACGTGCACAGACATACACATCTACACATACATCTACACATACCTAAATGCATCTACATCTACATTTACAATCACCGATAAGGCGGTTTCAAATATGTTACTTCCAGCGCTGCAGTACTTATATACAAATGTGTAGATATACGTACAGACATACGTATTTATGTCTGTACATTTTTGTATACAAAAATGTGTATAAATATACATATATATATATATATATATAGATTACGTACATATTAAAAAAACGGGTACACGGGACCGCTGCGGATGTCCCCGCGACCGCCCTGGCGCTCTGCGTGCAGGGGCGGAATCCTGCGCACCCCCTCTTGGCATCAGGCCGCGCTTGCCACGCCCTGCGAACTTGGCATGGATAGAGACTGCGCTCAGGGACCACCCCCTGCGCACCCTGTCTGGGTCGCGAACGTGCTACACCTGACACGCCCTGCGACCTGGAGTAGATCAAGACCTCGCTCGGGGACCACTTCATGTACGCCCTCCCTCACAGGTGCCGAGAAAGCGCCGCGCCAGCCTTGCTCTGCGACATTTGCGCGGACAGAAGCCGCACCCGGAGATCATCCCTTGCGCGCCATTTCTGGTGCCGACAGGGCCCCAGAAGGGGGCTCCGAGATGGCCCCAGGTGTTTTAAGATGGCCTCCAAGATGGCGCGAGATGGTCCAAGCTGGCTCAAGATGGCCTGCCTCCAACTGGCCCCATGATAGCCCCAAAACGGTTGCCAGTAAGACGAACACCACCGACTCGTCGACCGAAGCAGCCTGTACATACGCACGCATACAGTTTATACGCGTGTACCAATGCATGCGCGTGCGTGCGTGCGTATACACATATATGTATACAAACATACATGTGTGCATGTGTCAATCGCATCGTTCGGTCTCCGTGGGATATTTTCCAGGGGAGACACTGAACAAACAACAACAAACAAAAATCGGCGGTGAATAACTGGCAGTCGGGATCAGGGGGGGGGATGGGGGGTCATCAGTTTTAAAGAAATTTGGGAAATCGTATATATATATATATACATAGGTATGTAGATATGTGTATGTATATGTGTGTATCTATGTATATACACAGGTGCCCTCAAGTTGGAGTGTCCACAGGTCCCGTGCTCGATCCCCTGAGCCTGAGCCCTCACTCGTGAAGACTCTGTAAAGAGTCCCGACCCACAACTCTTAAATCTCGAGGCTTGGCGCGGCTCCCCTGGGCTTCCCCGAATGGTGCCGCATGACTGTTTCGGGGCCGGGACCAAGAGGGGCTCAAAACGGTCCAAGAGGGCCCCGAATCGCCGAATCATCGGTCCAAGACGCCGAAGATCGCCTCCAGTCGGCCGAAAACGCGCCCAAGACACACCAAGAGGCCTCCAAGAGCACCAACACGAGGCAAAAATCGTCCCATCCCGTAGGGACAACATGAACTTCTTGCATGCACGACTGTTGCGCTTTCACAGCATCCAAGACTGCCCACGAGACCCCAAAGAGGGCACCAGGAGGGCCACAAGACGGCCCAACAGGGCCCCAAGACGTCCCAAGAGGCGCCCAAGACGGCCCGAGAGAGCGCCAAGACGGCCCCAAGAAGGGCCCACGAGTGCGAGCCCACAATTGGAGCCTTCCGTCTCAAGATGCCCCCCAGGAGGCCCCAAGAGGCCCCCAACAAGCCTCGAGAGGCCACCAAGAGGCCACCAAGACGCCCCAAGAGACCCCAAAAAGGCCACCAAGAGGCCTCAACACTGCATCCACGAGGCCACCGAGAGCCCCCCCGCGACATCCCAACGAACATTCTAGAGGACTATTACCCACAACCCAGACACGGTGGCGGAATGGGCCGAGGGCCGTGGTGCATGTATATATATATATATATATATACATGTATATATGTGTAGATATACGTGTAAGTGCACCCATATATATATATATACACATACAAATATTTAATTATACATAATGTCTATGCGCGGGTATACCTATATATAATATACATACATGTGCGAATGTTGTTCAGCGCTGCTTCATCTAACGTCCGCAGACTTTCCGTTGGTTGTTGCTGAACTGGAGATGGTTCAAAACTGGTTGTTCCCAAACAAGGTGAACACTCTAGCATTATGGAATGTAGAATGGCTTGTACATTAACCAAGACAACTGTCGGAAATGTTACACACGTCATGAAGGACAGTGCTTGCTGGGAAAGCGGCGCCGACTACAATCCTTTAAAAAGTTGGATGGGTGCCCACTGCCCGTTGACAGATGTCACTGGTGAGCCTGGCAGGCGGAACAAACATGAAAGTGATGTACTGGCCGAAACGCTTCTTGAGGGGCAGGTCGTCCTGTCACGTGTTGAACTGTGTTAAAACGGGATTGCCCACGAAGCAATGTTTGCCAGCGTGAACGTCAAACAGTGAGGTTTTCCACGCTGGGTGTACAGGCTATGTGGCGCACGCTGCGTGGTGCAAGCCAATAGGTGCAAACTCCGACGCTAAGTGATTCAATCGATGGTGTGCAAGCTGAGTGGTGCAAGCAATGTTGTACAAGCTATTTGGCGCAGTATTTGATGCGCAAGCTGCGTGCTGCAAGATATGTTGCGTAAGCTATGCGGTGCAAGCATTGTGGCATGAGCCATGTAGCGCAAGCTATGGTGTGTACGCTACGTACTGCCGTCCATATTATGTATCCGATGTGGTGCAAGCTCTGTGGCGCAATATGTGGGTTGCAAGCTGCATGCGTGGTGCAAACTGCGCGGTGCTACGCATAGCGTGGGGTCACGCCAGCAAACGCACGAGGCGCCCGTGAGCGGCCGCAGGCGGCCACAGCGGCCACCAGGCGACAACTCCAGAAATGCATGCCAACGCACGTGCCGACCCCGAGGCGGCCACGCGCGGCCACCAGACTGAAACACGGCGGCTCACTCATGCCAGAGTGCAAGCACTGCATGGGGTAAGGGAGCGGGTAGCTCACTCCGCGCCTTTTCATCGTGCGCCCCTTGCTTCCGCTCGCCATGTCCGGAGTCCGCGCAGAAACGCCTCAAAACGTCCAGAAGAGGGCTACATGTCCAGGGGGATGAGCCAGGAGGAGGGGCACGTGCGTAGGAGGTGGAGACAAAGCAGGGGAGAGCGAGCACAAGAAGCCTGAGGCGGACGAGGACGAGGCAGCACGAGCAAGATGCCCCCAGAGGTCTCCAGGGGTCGCCCGGGGGACAACCTCCAGCGGTCTCCTCCTCCGCTTCTCCCTTCTCGTCGACTCCCTCCTCGAACCCTCCGAGGGCACACGACAAACCACGATCTCCCAATCCCAATCCACGCCCACCTCCCGTGTTCTCCTCCCTCACTCCTCCTGCGTCGTGGACGGAGAGGGGCGGGGGGAGGGGTGCGGGGAGGTGAACGCCGCTGCTCCAGCGTGGTCTCCACCATCGCGTCGGAGGACATCGCCACGATGCCCTCCAGCAGCTTGAATGCCTTGGGCAGGTCCAGGCACGCCCCGGCGCTCCCAAGCTCCTGCTCCACCTTGGGGGGGACACATGGCACGCATGTTATACTGCAGTGGATGGAGACGGGGAGGTGGGATGCGGGAGAGCGAAAAGGGGGAGAGAGAGAGAGAGAGAGAGACAGAAAGAGAAATCACAACACGATTATTCCCATGAAGAGCGATGCTACCACGTTATATGGTATGCACAGACACGGCATGCCGGGCTATCCAATCCAATGCAATGCAATGCTATGCCAAGTTATGAGCTGCAAAAACAGGACGACAGTACGAACAACCACGGGGGAGTGATATTTGCATGATTCCTGTTCACTGTTGCGCAGAGCAATACAGTGCTGTCCGATTAATGTATGTACATTGGAGTGCCATCGTAGGCCACGATGTGTCATGATATTCAATGCCATGCTAGGCAATGCTACGTCATGACGTGCAGTGCTAGGCTCAGCTAGACACAGCTATGTAATGAAATGCTATGGCATGCTGAACAATACTGTGATATGCACTGACACGGTTAGCTCTGTCGTGCTGTGGCGTGCCATGTCATGTCATGCAACACTGCGATGGCACGATAGGCTAGGCGGTCCTTTGCTATGCACCGGAATGTTTTGGAGGCCTCTTGGGGGCCCTTTGGGCTGCTCTTGGGGCCTCTTTTTGGACCTCTGCGGGGCCTCTAGGGGGCCTCTGGGGGGCCTCTTGGGCTCTGTTGGGGGCCTCTTGGGGCTGAAGGCTCGAATTGTCGGTTCGTGTTCCCCCTCTTGGGCCCCTCTCGGGGCCGTCTTGGCGCCGATATATATATATATATATATATATATATACATACACACAGATCTTGTTGGCTCGCTTTGCTTCGCCACAATATCTTGTCCCTCATCCTCGTCCTTGGCGCAGGAACGCAGATAATCTGGCATTCCGCCGCGCTATGTGGACGACAGAGTTTTGTGCGCTTGTGAACTTCATGGATACGGGTGTAGATATGATGTGTGTCGCGAGCTTGACGGCTTCGGGGGGATCGGGATGCTGTTGTTGCAGGACCGATCACGGCGGACAATTGTGTCGGCGGTCGTGCTCGTGGTCGTGCCGGTGTTCGTGTTGGACATCGTGCCGGCGGATGTGCTGGTGGCCGTGCTGCTCGTCTTGGCCGCGGTCGCGCTGGGAATGGTGCTGGTGGGCGGTCGTGCTGGCGGTCGCGCTGGTGGTTGTGCTTGCGGCCGTGCTGGCGGTGGTGGGGCAAACGTGGGCGTCGGTGTTCATGAGGGGTGAGCATGTCCGGAAGCGAAGAGCCACCCAACGGGCCGAACCAATTTTTGGTTCGCGTCGACGGCTGTTTTTCCCAATCATCCTGTGGTGTTGGGTCCTCGTTTTGAAGAGACGGTCCCCGCGTTCCTCTCTCCTCCTCTCTTCCTCCTCCCCCCCTCCTCCCTCCTACCGTCACCCCCCTAACTTTGGCACACCCCTCACACGTTTCGTGATCCCATAGAGAGCTCCACCGAAGGCCCCAGTGGGGGAACCATCTTCGAGGCGGTCGGTCAAAAGAAGGGGGTTCCTCGATGTTAAAAATTGGCCCTCCCGCTGGTCGGAAAAACGAGCCTCCGACACCTCGCGACCCCCCTAAACAAAAACAGGGAGGGTAGGTGAACGGTTCCCCTCCCCGATGGGAAGAGGGGTTGTGGAGAGGAAAGGGACCCTCCTTAGACCACCTGTCGCCCAAAGGGCTGGTTGGATTCAGGCAACACAGAAGTTCAACATAGAACTGAAGCCTACAACACTGACCGCTCTGCTCGACCCAACGCCGCGTGCGGGGTGAAATCAGGGGCTGCGTGTACTTGTTCTGTGCGTCTGTCGGCAGAAGGCGGCAGCGCGAAGACTTCCCGCGAACCCATGGCTTTGAATGGTTTGTGAGCCTGTTGGGCGCCGTTTTGGGGCCTCGTGGGGGCCCATTCGGGGCCTCTTGGGGGCCTCTTGGGGGCTTCCTGGGGGTGTCTTCGGGCTCCTGGGGGCCTCTTGGAGCCGAGGGGCCGAAACGTCGGGTCGGATCCCCCTTCGGAGCATTTCTTGGGTCCGTCTTGAGGGTGATTTCGTCCATTCTTGGAAGCCTCTTGGACCGTTTTGCGCCTCCTTGGGCCGTCTTGGGAGCTTGGGCCGTCTGGGGGCGATCTTGGAGGCCCCATGTGGCCGTCTTGGAGCGTCGGGAAAGGCACACGCGAGAACTTGAAAAACCATCATCAAACAATACAACAAATCAGTTAACCTGGCGAAGAACCCAACAACATGCAGTTGTGAATGCCTCGGTGGAGCTCCCTATGGGGCCACGAAGCGCTGTACTGGGTGTGGCGGACGCATGTGGGCTGCGCCACTGTGGCCTTCGGTGGAGCTCCTTATGGGGTCACCAAGCGCTGTACTGGGTGTGGGAGACGCATGCGGGCGGTGCAACTGGGGCCTTCGGTGGAGCTCCCTATGGGGCCACGAAGCGCTGTGCAGATTGGGTTTGGCGGACGCGTGCGGGCACTCCCACTGGGACCTTCGGTGGAGCTCCCTATGGGGCCACGAAGCGCTGTACTGGGTGTGGCGGACGCACGCGGGATCCCCCACTGGGGCCTTCGGTGGAGCTCCCTGTGGGGCAACGGAACGCTGTACTGGGTGGAGGGGGACGCATGCGGGCACTCCCACTGGGACCTTCGGTGGAGCTCCCTATGGGGCCACGAAGCGCTGTACTGGATGTGGCGGACGCATGCGGGCTCCCCCACTGGGACCTTCGAAGGAATCCCCTATGAGGCCACGAAGCGCTGTACTAGGTGGGGGGGACGCATGCGGGCACTCCCACTGGGGCCTTCGGTGGAGCTCCCTATGGGGCCACGAAGCGCTGCACTGGGTGGGGGGGGCGCATGCGGGCACCCCCACTGGGGCCTTCGGTGGAGCGCCCTATGGGGCCACGATCTGCTGTACTGAGTGGGAGGACGCATGCGGGCACCCCCACTGAGACCTTCGGTTGAGCTCCATATGGGGCCACGAAGCGCTGTACTGGGTAGGGGGAACGCATGCGGGCACCCCCACTGGGGCCTTCGGTGGAGCTCCCTATGGGAGCACGGAACGTATGAGTTGTGTGCCACAGTGAGGGGGGTGACGGGAGGAGGGAGGAAGGGGGGGAGGAGGAGGAGGAGGAGAGAGGAGGAACGCGGAGACCGTCTCTTCAAAACGAAGACCTACCACAAGATGGTTGGGAATGATGTTTGCCTCTGGGGGCCCTCTGGGGATGCCTCTTGGAAGCCTAATGGGGCGTCTTGGAGGCCTCTTGAACCGTCTTGGGACCAACTGGGGCATCTTGGAGCGATCTTTGGGCTGGGCCCTGTCGGTCCAACTTGGCCGTAAGTTTGGGCATTGTCGGAACTGTCTGGAGGCCGTCCGAAGCTCATCGGGGGGGGGGGCGAATTAGGTGACGCCCATCCGGGAAGGGGTTTCTCTTATCATGTTGTAATGAAAAGGAATATGGGTCGGGGGGGAGAGAGAGAGAGAGAGAGAGATGGTAAAAGAGAGAGAGAGAGAGCGAGAGAGACAAGAGAGAGAGAGAGAGAAAAAAAAGGAGAGAGAGAGATACACACGGGGAGAGAGAGATAGAGAGAGAGACACAGAGAGAGAGAGAGACACAGAGAGAGAGAGAGGTATATAGAGAGAGGCCCTCCTCCCCCATCTACCTCCCACCGCTCCCTTTTCCCTGCCCATCCACAAACCTGCCAACCCCTCTATTCGACCCCCTCCTCCCCCCCTCCCCCCCTCCAATGTCCCCCCCCATCCCATCATCCGCCTCCTCCATCTCCTCCTCCGCCTCCTCCTCCTCCTCCTCCTCGTCATCATCATCATCATCATCATCATCATCATCATCATCATCATCATCATCATCATCATCATCATCATCGTCGTCATCGTCGTCATCGTCATCATCATCATCATCACCACCACCATCATCATCATCAGCATCATCAGCATCATCATCCTCCTCCTCACCATCATCATCACCATCATCATCATCAGGATCATCATCATCAGCATCAGCATCATCAGCAGCATCAGCATCATCATCATCAGCATCAACATCCTTATCATCATCACTACCCCCATCATCAGCAGCATCAGCATCATCATCATCATCATCATCAGCATCATCATCAGCAGCATCATCAACACATCATCATCATCAACAACAACAACAGCAACATCATCAGCATCAACATTATCACGATACTCATCTCAACATCACCCTGCTCGCGCTCCGCCTCACCCTGACCCTCCCGCTATCCCCATCTACCCCCACTCTATCCCCCCCACATCATCCCCTCCGACGCATGCTCCTCATTCTCTCCCTCTTTCTCCTCCTGCCGCTGGCCTCTTCCTCCACGCACTCGGAGGAGAGCAAGGAGGAGGGGAATGAGGAGGATGTCTCTCCCCGTCTCTCACTCTCTCTCTCTCTCTCTCTGCCGCCTCTTGCCCCCCCTGCTCTCTTCCCTCCCCCTGCACTTTCGACATCCACGACGCACGGGCCACAAAGAAGGACCACAAACTGCCCAAAAGCCTTGACCATGGATCCTCAATCCGCGATCGCTCGACGACGGCGCCGACGCCGACGCCGCCGGCGCCGATGGACGCCAGACGACGGACGGCGGGCGGCGACGATGACGCCAGCCAGCGGCGGCCACGCCTCGTCGAGCAGGCGCGGGATCTCCACCTCGCCCTGGCGGATCTTCACCTCCTGGGGGCCGCGCGGGCGTTGCCCAATGTTGCCTAATCTGGGAGGAGGGAGGGGGCAGGGAGCGAGCGGTAAGGAGAAGAGAGGTGCTCCCTTCGCGCACCGTCGGGGCCCCAGGAGCTCCTTTTTTGGCCCCTCTCCTGCAGCCCTCGGTGACTGCCCCCCCTTTCCCCCCTTCCTCACCTCCCCATAACGAGGCCTCCGAGGCAGACGCCGCCGCGGCGCGCCGGCGGGAGAGGAGCTCGGGTCACAGAGGGGATGCCCGAGGCGGAGGCGGAGGCGCGGCGGAGGGGGGGGGAGGGGGGGGGGGCAAGCTAGGTGCGCTCGCGTCATATCTGACGTCCTACCCCTCCCTCCCATCCCTTACCATGGCGCAGATCTCTTCCCTATTCGCACAATCGGATGTCGTAGCATGGCGTAGCATTACATGGCATAGCATGGTGTTCAATATGAACGCGTAGCATGGCATATCATGGCGTGGCGACGCCCAAAAATTAGGGGGGGCTTCCGCGGCCCAACAAATTACATAATCGACACCGAATGTGTAATCATTTTCGATGGTTTCTTCGGGAGGCATTTTTGTTAGATATTGGGGCCGATTTGGAAGGAGCGAAAACCATGCCGTGGCATGGCACTGGACAGTCATGACGCCAGAGCTGCAGCAGGAGCACGATTCGGAACGCGCGGAAGCGCGGAAATCAGGGCATCGCTGCAGCGGGAGCACGATTCGGAACGAGCGGTAGCCTGTAAATGAGGCCAGCGCATCAGCGAGACCAGCTTCTTTTGCAAAAAATCCAAGCGCGGAAGCGCGGAACTGAGGACGCGTTGCCTGACATAGCATGGCGTGGCGTAGTCCCAACGTTGGGGGGGGGCTTCTGCGGCCCAGAAAATCAACGAATCGACACAGTATGTGTCATCACTTCCGATGGCTCTTTCGGGGGGGGCATTTTCTAGATTTGCGGGCCATTTGGAAGGACCGAAAACCATGCCGTGGCATGGCGCTGGACATGATGACGCCAACGCTGCAGCGGGAGCACGATTCGGAACGAGCAGAAATGCGGAAATGAGGGCAGCGCTGCAGCGGCAGCACGATTCGGAATGAGCGGCAGCCCGAAAATAAGGCCAGCGCTTCAGCGAGAGCAAAATTACGAACAAAAAACAAGCGAAAACCCGTTTCCCGGGAATCCTCTGTAAAAAACAAGAGGGGGGCCGGCCATCTCCCTGACACCGCCAGCAGGGGAGAGAGGAGAGTAGTACTCACAAAGTTGTGGAGGAGGGCGTGCCGAGGAGGGGGGGCGGGATGGGAGGAGAGGGGGAGGGGGCGGGCGTGACGTCCGAGATCCCTGCGCGGGGCGGGAGGAGGCTCATGTGAGGACAAGGAGGGCGAGAATGCCGAGGGCGAGGGAGAGGGCCAGACGCTCGAATCGAGAAGGATGCAAGGCGAGGAGATGGAGGACGAGAGGGAGGGGGTGACAGACGGGGAGACGGAGGGCAAGCAATACGAGGATGGCGGCAAGAGGGCGTGAGATCACAAACGAGCGAAGAAACGGTCCCCTTGAAAAACGGGTCCCGGGCCCTGCGGGCACCCCAGGGGCCCCCGCTGCTCGTCCTAAGCAGCTTGTGCTGGCCCCTGGGCGCGGGATGGGGGCCCCCAGGAGGCCGAGAAGGGGGACAAAAGCCTCGCGGCCACAGAGTCAACCCGCATAGTCAGGATGCACGATAAGGATGCACGGGCCTTGGAAGACCATGTCGACACTTTGCGAGCGGGGCGCGGCCAGCGAAAGCGGCCAAGGATGGGCCGAACGGGAAGGATGCAAGGGTAGCCTTGGAAAGTCGCTCATCCTTACTCTGCGGGTTGAGCGTGCTCCTTCACAAGACGTCCCTTCCTTCATGGTCAACGTCCTCCTCCTCCTCCTCCTCCTCCTCCTCCTCTTCTTGCCTCTCGCCTGGCTGCGGAGGAGGGTTCCAGTGAGGGTCTCCGAACAAGAAGGAAAGAAAAGCCCGAGGCCGACTCCATCGGAGGAGACTATTGTCGCTGCTGGCGAGGGTCCCATCCTCCCGCCAACGACCCGACAGGAGACGAACTCAGGGTTGCCAACTTATCCTGGCCACGCCTAGAGCAGCCTGCCCGCAGGAAGGCGAGCCAGTACCCTCTTCCGGAGCGCCGAGGGGCCAGAATTGCACTGGCGTCCGAGCTTCTGGAGTTTCCCCCTTGAGGTGGCTCCCGTGCCGCCGCAAACTTGACACCACCCCTGTTACATACACGCGGCGCATGCCGCCCTAAGAGGCTGGCCCGCGCGGCGCTCGCAGCCGCGGGGCCTGACGGATTATGGCTGGTCTAACCGTTACGAAATCCTCCTCCTCCTCCTCCTCCTCCTCCTCCTCCTCCTCCTCCTCCTCCTCCTCCTCCTCCTCCTCCTCCTCCTCCTCCTTCTCCTCCTCCCGCAAAGGGGGGCGGGGCGGGCGGGCTGCAGGAGGCGAGAAGGGGGAGGGGGGGGGAACGCTGGGGCAGACGGCGCGCGGGATCCTGCAGCTTCTGGTGGAGGCTCTGCCAGGAGGCCCCGCTCTGCAGCCTCGGCGGGGGGGGATCGTTGCCTCCTTGCCTCCGTTCCTTCCATGTAGATGGCTGGACGGTAAAACTGCAATTATCCGGGCGAAAGACCCAATCATATGCAGCTGTGCGTACCGCGTTGTGGGTACTGCTCTCAGTGGAACCCCCTATGGGGCCACGATCCTCGTGAGTGGTGTGCAGAAATCAACGGGGGGACGCATGCAAACCCTGCCGCTGGGGCCTTCGGTGGAGCTCCCTCCCCATGGGGCCGCGATACTCGTGAGGGGTGTGCCGAAATGGGCGGGGGGACGCATGCAAACCCTGCCGCTGGAGCCTTCGGTGGAGCTTCCTATGGGGCCATGATCCTCGTGAGGGGTGTGCAGAAATCAACGGGGGGACGCATGCAAACCCTGCCGCTGGGGCCTTCGGTGGAGCTCCCCATGGGGCCACGATCCCTGTGAGGGATGTACCGAAATGGGCAGGGGGGACGCATGCAAACTCTGCCGCTGGGGCCTTCGGTGGAGCTCCGTATGGTGTCGCGATCCTCGTGAGGGGTGTGCCGAAATGGGCGGGGGGACGCATGCAAACCCTGCCGCTGGGGCTTTCGGTGGAGCTCCCTATGGGGCCACGGTCCTCATGAGGGGTGTGCCGACATGGGCGGGGGGACGCATGCATACCCTGCCGCTGGGGCCTTCGGTGGAGCTCCCTCCCCATGGGGCCGCGATACTCGTGAGGGTTGTGCCGAAATGGGCGGGGGGACGCATGCAAACCCTGCCGCTGGGGCCTTCGGTGGAGCTCCCCATGGGGCCACGATCCTTTAGAGTGGTGTGCAGAAATCAACGGGGGGACGCATGCAAACCCTGCCGCTGGGGCCTTCGGTGGAGCTCCCTATGGGGCCACGGTCCTCGTGAGGGTTGTGCCGAAATGGGCGGGGGGACGCATGCAAACCCTGCCGCTGGGGCCTTCGGTGGAGCTCCCCATGGGGCCACGATCCTTTAGAGTGGTGTGCAGAAATCAACGGGGGGACGCATGCAAACCCTGCCGCTGGGGCCTTCGGTGGAGCTCCCGATGGGGCCATGATCCTCGTGAGGGGTCTGCCGAAATGGGCGGGGGGACGCATGCAAACTCTGCCGCTGGGGCCTTCGGTGGAGCTCCCTATGGGGACGCGATCCTCGTGAGGGGTGTGCGGACATGGCGGGGGGGCGCATGCAAACCCTGCCGCTGGGGCTTTCGATGGAACTACCTATGGGGCCACGGTCCTCGTGAGGGGTGCCGGCATGGGCGGGGGGACGCGTACAAACCCTGCCGCTGGGGCCTTCGGTGGAGCTCCCTGTGGGGCCACGATCCGTGTGAGGGGTGTGCCGAAATGGGCGGGGGGACGCATGCAAACCCTGCCGCTGGGGCCTTCGGTGGAGCTTCCTATGGGGCCATGATCCTCGTGAGGGGTGTGCAGAAATCAACGGGGGGACGCATGCATACCCTGCCGCTGGGGCCTTCGGTGGAGCTCCCCATGGGGCCACGATCCCTGTGAGGGATGTACCGAAATGGGCAGGGGGGACGCATGCAAACCCTGCCGCTGGGGCTTTCGGTGGAGCTCCGTATGGTGTCGCGATCCTCGTGAGGGGTGTGCCGAAATGGGCGGGGGGACGCATGCAAACCCTGCCGCTGGGGCTTTCGGTGGAGCTCCCTATGGGGCCACGGTCCTCGTGAAGGGTGTGCCGAAATGGGCGGGAGGACGCGTACAAACCCTGCCGCTGGGGCCTTCGGTGGAGCTCCCTGTGGGGCCACGATCCGTGTGAGGGGTGTGCCGACATGGGCGGGGGGACCCGTGCAAACCCTGCCACTGGGGCATTCGGTGGAGTTCCCAATGGAATGGGGCCACGGAGCGCTGTCCTGGGTGGGTTTAACGCAGGGAGCTGACGAGGCGGATGAAAGGAGGGAGGAGGGGGGTGAGGAGGAGGGAAGAAGAGAGGAGGGAACGCGGGGCGCTCCCTTCAAAACGAGGACCCAACACCACAGGATGAATGGGAAAACGCGTGTCCTGATGAGTCCTGGCTTGTTTCGTGTGTCTTCGCATGTCTTGGTCTGTACATGTTGTGTAAGTATGCATTTGTACGTCGCAGTATCTAAACAGCTGGAGGTGTGTATATGTGTATGCGTATCAATGTACGTATATAACACGATGCGCCCTCACGCGCACACCCGAGTACGTGCTCGGGTGCGCGCCCGCCATATATGACAGGCCCTTGCAACGTTTACGAACACGCATGATAGACCAGGTGCGCACACGACGCAATGAGGAAATGATGGATAGGTTGCATCAGCATGAATATCGCGGATTGTATAATCATAAAAAGTGGCAGAGAACTCAACGCACATGTACACGCGAACCACATTACATTGCCTAGCATTTTGATACATCACGTCACATTGCCTGGTAATGAACACCAGCGGGAACATCCGAATCATACATTGCGCAAGTTCAATTACTCGATGAGCAACGTCAATAAACAAAGGTGCGTGGCCGATCATAAACTAAATAAACGTACGATCAAGCAACACATGTAATAAAACAGTGCTTTGAAGAACCGCATGGGCCTCCAGGGCGGCTGCAATGTCCCAGACGAGGCGGAGACGGTCCAAACATTCTTACTTTTTCGTCGCGACCGCAAGCGAAAACGCAGGCGGCGTCCGAAGTCACTCCGGGCTACGAGCCAAATCTAATTACCTAAGCGCGCGAACTAACGGCCGCCGAAATTACCGCCGAGGGACGCCGAGGAGCGACGCCGGGGACTGAAGGCTGAGCTGCAAGAGGTGCCGGGTGTGCCAGGCGGCTGGAACCATTCCAGGGGCAAGACCACCGGGAAGGCAAACGAATTGTACCTGGTCGCACCAGGCGCCAAATAGGTAAAAGAGCCAACCGAGCAAAGCACGGCATAGCGCGGGGCTGAGCACTCAGCCCAGCGCACCTGTGTCGCATACCAACAGTGGCAACCTCAGGTGGTTGAACAAGAAAGCTAAACCACTCATGAGCAACCCACGTGGAGGTGCATCCCACCATTGCAAGGCGGCAGCTGCAAACACGGACAGGCTGTGGCAGTGTCTGGGGACCAGGGGCCAGGAACATGCGAGCATGCTAGCTGGAGCTGGTCGACGTGCAAGTCACCGGGACGCCAGGGTTACCTCACCAGGCTCAAAGGAGCCCGCACGGACAGCAACAGACGCCAGGGACTGAGGGCGAAAGCCCGAGAGCAAAATCAAGCATTCTTACGCGAAGCGTCAAGAATTCGAGGCGTCGGCGAGTGCTAGCGAGCATGGACACCGGGGCGCGGCGGCCTGGCAGCGGAGCCGTCTGGAGCGCCCTTCCTGCCAATATCCTGCTGCGATGTGTAAGTCTGGTCTTATGCTGTCCCATGGTACTTAAGGACCACATCCCCAAAATACTCTTGAGCGCTCAGAAAAGTAGCGAAACTGTGTCTGCCCGAGACGCTTGCGAAGTGTCAAACAAGTATCGCCTCTCAGGGCCCGACACGTGCAAACCCTACAAATTCGGTACTTTCTTGGTGCTCGAAATTATGTTTGGTGGTTGAGGTTCAAGTAGTTTGGAATATCACAAGACTAGCCGGGTTCGCCCATCCTCCGCCGCATGCTTGCGACTCGTTTCAGTGTGTATCGTCGTGATCATCGCGTATTGCTGTCTAGCTTGCACTAGATTGCAGATTCCTCCCTCTGTGTTGTCATGTTTAGGCGTATGCATGTAAACATGGCTAGCTCAACAGGTAGCATACTTACACACATTCCACATCTGCCTACGTGGACACATGCACGCATGCATTCCTACATGAACCCATACATGCAATGCGTTACCTGCATAAACGCATACACACAGACCTACCGATTCCACGTATATGCACATGCATGCACACCCGCATACATACAGATACCATAATACATCTAAACGTCACTACCGCAAATGATACCATGTAACGCCTGAGAAAAATTAGCCTGACGAAAGACCCAACCATATGCAACTGCGGGTACCGCATTGTGGGTACCGCTTTCGGTGGAACTCCATGAGGGGCCACGAACCGTGTGAGGGGTGTGCCAAAATGGGTAGCAATCCCCGCATGCGGCCTGTGCCGCTGGGGCCTTCGGTGGAACTCCCTGTGAAGCCACGAACCGTGTGAGGGGTGTGCCAAAATGGGTGGCGGTCCCCGCACGCGGCCTGTGCCACTGGCGCCTTCGGTGGAGCTCCCTGTGGGGCCACGAACCGTGTGAAAGCTGTGCCAAAATGGCTGGCGGTCCCCACATGCGGCCTGTGCCACTGCGGCCTTCGGTGGAGCTCCCTGTGGGGCCACGAACCGCGAGAGGGGTGTGCCTAAATGGGTGGCGGTCCCCGCATGCGGCCTGTGCCACTGGGGCCTTCGGTGGAGCTCCCTGTGGGGCCACGAACCGTATGAGGGGTGTGCCAAAATGGGTGGCGGTCCCCGCATGCGGCCTGTGCCGCTGCGGCCTTCAATGGAGCTCCCTGTGGGGCCACGAACCGTATGAGGGGTGTGCCAAAATGGGTGGCGGTCCCCGCATGCGGCCTGTGCCACTGGGGCCTTCGGTGGAACTCCCTGTGGGGCCACGGGCCGTGTGAAAGGTGTGCCTAAATGGGTGGCGGTCCCCGCATGCGGCGTGTGCCACTGGGGCCTTCGGTGGACCTTCCTGTGGGGCCACGAACCGTGTGATGGGTGTGCCAAAATGGGTGGCGGTCCCCGCATGCGGCCTGTGCCACGGGGGCCTTCGGTGGAGCTCCCTGTGGGGCCACGACGTGTGAGGGGTGTGCCACAATGGGTGGCGGTCCCCGCAAGCGGCCTGTGCCACTGGGGCCTTCGGTGGAGCTCCCTGTGGGGCCACGAACCGTGCGATGGGTGTGCCAAAATGGGTGGCGGTCCCCGCATGCGGCCTGTGCCGCTGCGGCCTTCGGTGGAGCTCCCTGTGGGGTGTGAGGGGTGTGCCAAAATGGGTGGCGGCCCCCGCATGCGGCCTGTGCCACTGGGGCCTTCGGAAGGGCCACGAACCGCGAGAGGGGTGTGCCAAAATGGGTGGCGGTCCCCGCATGCGGCCTGTACCACTGGAGCCTTCGGCGGAGCTCCCTGTGGGGCCACGAACCGTGTGAGGGGTGTGCCAAAATGGGTGCGGTCCCCGCATGCGGCCTGTGCCACTGGGGCCTTCGGTGGAGCTCCCTGTGGGGCCACGAACTGCGTGAGGGGTGTGCCAAAATGGCTGGCGGTCCACGCATGCGGTCTGTGCCACTGGGACCTTCGGTGGACCTTCCTGTGAAGCCACGAACGGTGTGATTGGTGAGCCAAAATGGGTGGCGGCCCCCGCACGTGGCCTGTGCCACTGGGGCCTTCGGTGGAGCTCTCTGTGGGGCCACGAACCGTGTGAGGGGTGTGCCAAAATGGGTGGGATGATGCTGATGGTGACGATGAGGAGGAGGAGGAGGAGGAGGAGGAGGAGGAGGAGGAGGAGGAGGAGGAAGGGGAGGAGGATTGAGGAGCAGGTGACGCGGGGCGCTGTCCCTTCAGAACGAAGACCCAACACCACAAAATGGTTGGGAACAAAACAGTGCGTCAGCTTGAAACGGAAACATGTGACATGCGTTTCTCGAAACGACACACGACTGGCGGGCAGACTGCCCCCAACGGGACCGGCCAACTCTCCTGGCCAAGCCCCAAGAATCTGGCCAACCCTCTCGGACAACCCCTCTAGCCAACCCTGGTTAGGCCAGTTCTTTCCAGAAGTCATAGTACGCAAAAAACAGTGCGCAGGAGGAGGAGTATCACGAGGAGGTGGAGGAGGAGGTGCAGGAGGAGGCGCAGGAGGAGGAGGAGAAAGGAGGAGGAGGGAGGCGATACCCCACCAAAGATCGTCAAGCGCAACAACGCGTGATCATAATCAAACTCAAGGCCGCCAGGCATTACTAAATCAACCGATTCCTCAGCTCTGCACTCGCCATGCAATACCAGAGCCTGCTCTGGCTTTTTGCCACGCAATAACTCTCGACCATTGGCTTGATCATGGATTGGAGAAAAGACCTACAGCTCTCTTCGCCGTCGCACTCGCCCTCCCTCACTTGTTCCTCACTCGTCGGCATCGGTACTTGTTACTTCTCTCGCCCCCTCCCCTCCCTCATTCCCGGCGCTGACTGAGGCAAGCCAGCACGCCACAGCAGGGGGAGAGGCGGTCCACGCGTCCCTCTGCTGGCCTCTGGACAGCGGTCGCACGTGGGAAACCTTTGCTCACAATCTGGCTCTGGCAGAACATAGAGGGCGCGGCCACATGTTCTAAACATTCTGGCCACTGGTTGCGCCAAGTGGTGCCGCAAATGAAGGGATGAAACGCTGAACGAAGAGACGAGTTGCACACGAATCGTCGTGACGCAGTGAATAGCAGCCCCGAACCTTACAATGGCCCCTTGGCGCTCCCACGCCCGCTTACACTAGATCCATTTCACTCCGTATCTCCCGCCACCCGCTCCGACGCCTGCAGGAACAACGATGCCTTAGGGCAATCATCATCGCCTAAAAGATGATGGAGTACGCGGGTTCCTTTACCACACACGGCCACCTGATTCCGTGAGACTGCGTCCATCACGCCAATGCCACGTTCAATCCAGAAGAATAGCTTCGGATCTGAAACTGCACGGGCACGGCTGGCCCGCCGATTTCTGGCACGCCCTTCGTGGTGCGCAGTGTGAGGCGACCACACGGCACGTACGGATCGCCGAACGATCGTTCCACGACGCCCAAGATGGGCCCCCAAACGGCCCCAAAGGCCTCCAAGACGCCCAAGGAGGCCTCCAAAAGGCCTCCCAAGAGGGTCCCAAGAGGCAGAACTCATTGACTCCCAATAGGTGTTTGAAGCATTTTGGAATTCTCGACTTCTCGGCTTCCCGACGCTCCCAGACGGTCCTAGAGGCCCACAAGACCACCCCAAGATGGCTTCCAAGAGGGCCCTAACACGGCCCAAGAGGGCCCCAAGACAGCCCAAGATGCGCCCAAGACGACCCAAGAGGGCCCCAAGACGGACCCAAACGGGGCCCCAGAGGGGGAACACGAACAGAAAATCCTAGCCTTCCGCCCCTCCAGGGGGCCCAGGATGCGCACAGGAGGCCCCAAGAGACCCCCAAGAAGCCCCCAAGAAGCCCCAAGAGGCCTCCAAGAGACCCAAAAGAGGCCCCAAACGTTGAAAAGCTTGCTGTTGGAAAACAATTAAATGGCCACAGGGTGAGCCACACATGCGGCCCGCAGTGCTGCCATATGCATTTCCGATATGTAATGGGTTACAAGATTCTGGTTGTTTTTGTTGATTTCTGTGCAGCTGTAGGTTTGGGCGTACACGTCGGGAGGCGTTGCTATCGATATTCGGCCAAGCTCGCAAATCAAACCCTTCTCATGCTCATGCGCATCACGACCTTCACACCTCATCCCATTGTCTCCCTCCTCCTCATCCCTGTCCCCGCGCTCTCCTACCTCCTCCCTCCCCTCTCCTCCTCCTACTCCTACTCCTCAGCCCTCCACCCCGTCCTCTTCCCCGTTGCCGCTGTTCACTCCTCAAGCCATGCGTTCGACTGATTGCAAAAGGTGACGCGATGGACGATGACGCGAGAAGGGAGGATGTCGCTCGACTCATGTATCAAACTGGCGGCACCGTTCACGCTCGATCGTCTGAGATAGCAGCCGCACCTCAACGTCAGATGCCCTGACCCCGCTGTGTCATATGATCTCTCTGGTGGCAGCAAGAGGCCGTTCGGGTTGTCTACTCGGGATACGCTTCCCCTACCAAGCCCCCCAAATAGAACTTCGATTTCCTATTCGAGATCCCCCTTCGTGCAAGCTTAGCGCATCAGGCGAGCATTCCAACACCCCGTGGGGCTCGCCGCACCACTCAACACCGCGCCCACGCACGGTCGGCAAAACACTGCCACGAGTAGGCATAAGATTGACGCTGCCCGAAAGCAAAAGGCACGGTCCCCAAGGGGAATCTCAATCGTTTCGGCGTCTGACTATCGGGGCGCTCATCTACTCGGCAACGGATGGAGCGAGCGAAACGTTGAGGTAGACAGGTCCTGAAGGACGAGAGGGAGTTGAAGGGGCCCAGGGTGCTCTCAGATGACTCCAGTTGACAGACGAATCACAGGAGGGAGGAGGAGGTGGATGCAATATGGATGAATGGGTAGCTTGGGGAACGAGGGTTGGTAAAATGTTAAAGGGAACTAGGGAGAGAGAGAGAGAGAGAGAGAGAGAGAGAGACGGGCCGCAAACAAAAATCGAGGAGAGGACCTCTACTTCTCCTCAGCCTCCTTCGCAGCTGCTGCAGCTGCCTTGGCCTTGCGAGGCGCCTTTAGCGTCGGCGCCTTGGCAGCTGCCGCCTCCTCGGCGGGGGGCTCAGCCGTCTCGGCCTTGGAGGCCTCAAGCTCGGAGGCGGCGGCGGCCGCCGCCGCGGGCTCCTCGATCTTGCAGGTCATCATCTCCACGAGCTTGCTCGGGAGGTCCTGCTGCCGTACCTGCAGCTTCTCGAACACGTAGCGCCGACTCGAGTCCCTGGCCTGTCCAGTGAGCGTCGCATTCGTCAGGATGATGCTCCCAAGCATGATGCCACACTTAGCGTGGAGCATCTTCACGTCCTTGAGCTCCTCCGCGCACTGGTCCAGCTTCACGCGCTGCTTGTCGGACAACCAGGTCAGCGATGCCCTGGAAGACACAAGCTCCCGAACCACGCGCTCCACCGAGCTGAAGGAGAGCACGAAGTCCTGCGCGATCTTCATGTCGCGTTCGCGGTTGACATCCCTGGTCGTTGCACCAAGCCATCCGCCACCTGTGTCGAACGACCAGCCCTTGATGAGCTCCAAGATGTTCTCGCCCTTCTCGCCGTACTTGTCCATGAACTTCTGCACCTCGGAGGTCTCGAAGACACCAACCGTAGAATCAAACAACGTGCCCCACGTCTCAGTGAGACGCGTCACCCACTCCTTCACCTCGGGCTTGCTGACCACTGGTTCCTGCATGCTCCCGTGAGCCTTCAGCGCCGTCGTCAGCTGGATGCATCCCACGACGTTCCCACTTACCATCGTATCGACCGTCTTCTTCATCAAGTGGTAGTTCTGCGCAGAGGAGATCAGCGGCTTGATCTCTGGAGGGAGCGCACCGCAAATATCCAAGACCGTCTGCATGTACTGGGGAGTGGCCAAGCTGCAGCCCTCGAAAGAGACCACTCCACACACAACCTTCGAACGGATGTCTCCCAGCCACTCGCTGCTCCCTCGAAGTCCTGGATCCCTGGGCCCTCGTCACGTCACATCCCTGCTCATCCTTTCCTTGCTCTCCTCCGACGTCGATCGGTTGCCTCCTGGAAGTTTCATATGGCGGAGATCCCAAACACTAAGAATGGTGCGAGTGGCATCTGAGACATCCACGGCCACCTGAATGATCGGATGGCCGACGGTAAAGGAAGATATCTTGCCGTTGAACTGCTGAAAGGGCATCGCGATGCTGTCGTCCGCCAGTTGGGGCGCTAGCTTCATGGCGGTCTCAGTCTGCCAAGCGTCACTCCACACAAGGATCGTCTTCTCTGAATTGATGTCTGCGCGGCTTTTGATCACGTTCACTTTCAAGGCAATCTCACAGCGGGTCAAAGTCTCCTTGATGGTGGATCTCTCGGGCAGACCGATCTCGAAATTCAAGATGGCTTGGGCTACGAAGTAGAGCACTTTGATCGGATCCACGTCGTCCTCCCCGTACCCCTCGTGGTAGACGGCGTGGAAGTCAGCCGAGAAGTAATCGAAGTGAGAGCCTATGCGGGCGGCCGCCGAGCACATTGCCTTCACGAGCTTGTCTTTCACCGAGATAGCGTCCTTGGTGTCGTCGGTAATGGAGCCGTCGGTGTCGTCGATGCTATCTATGTACTTGCAGAACTTATCCAACGCGTCGCGAAACTGAACATCCGCAGCAGCAGTCCCAAGTAACCCCCAGAGCTCGTTCATCCTCCCGTCCTCCTCTTCGAGGTTGTCGGTATCATTCAGCGCCGAGACGCGGTCATCGATCGACTTCGCGAACACCTTCACCTTGTTGAAGACATCTGCGGCGAGACTGCAAAGCTCAGCATCCCCGTCACCACCAACCGAGATCCTATCCCAGCCCGCCTTGGCCCAGTTCGCGGTGCCTGTGCTCACGCGAATGTGGCAACGAAGACGGTTGGACAGCTTGTCTTTGTGGTTGTGCAGTTGAACCCCAATGACACGAAGCTCCCTCGGGAGCCTCTCACGCACGTCGATCTCTGCGGTCGCGCCGAAGAACCGAAGGGCCATCAAGTCGGCAAAGCAAGACGGATTCCAACCAGTCTTCGTGTCTATCTGCTCGCTCATGGTGTCCACGGTCGTGAAGTCGGAGTGCGTCCCGATCGCGTCGCCGCAGTGCTTCACGACCGAGGTGAAGTCGGACTGGGAGCTCTTCCTAACGACCCTGTCGATGAAGGCCTGGACCATGTTCCGCTGGCAGCTCGTCACGAACTCGGCAGTGTTGTCCCCGAGCATGGCCACAGACAGGACCCCCTCTCGCGAATCGAACTTGGCGACATCCAGTGCCATAGCCTGGACCTCAGGAGCTGGATGTGCTGCGAGCTTGTACGACGTGGTCGACATGATGTTTGCTTTGATGTTATCGGGCAGCTTTTTGAAGATATCATGGAGACGCTTGGGAACGCTGCGGACAATGGTATGGGGCTCACTCCTCAAGGTTTCCAAGCAATTGCGTTCTTCCTCAAGCTGCACGCTGCTCATGTACAACTGCTCTGATATCTCAGCGGACTCGGACTCACCCATCACCGAGGCCACTTTCGAAGCTTTGGCTGCCAATCGGGTCAGTAAGTTTTCAAAGTCCCTCGCCCTGTACTTCTTCGACCAGAGCGTCTCGGCCGTCCAATTGTTGGCAACTTCCTCAAGGAGGGCCCGACCGTCACTGACGATGGCCTGCGATCCGCATCCTCTGATCCGCTTCGTCTTCGCAGCAGACGGCTGAACTTCATCGGTCGTACGTTTCGGGGCTTTCGGATGGACTGGCGTAGCGATGCCGATGCCCCCCGAACGCAAACTCTGTAAAGACGAATTGACCGACTGCGCCGATACCATGCTCCGCAAACTCCCACACGCCGACTGGCCGTCGTCCTCATCTTCCTCCTCGGAGCCGCCCTCGAGAGCCGCAGGAAGATCACGTGGTGCTGGTACGAGGGGCGGCTGCGGCCCTGCCGAAGCAGACCTTCGCGAGGAGGAAGACGGTAAACCCAAAGAAGCAGCCGCGGCAGCCGAGGAGTCTTCAAGGTGCTGCCTCATTGCATCGTCTCTGGACTCGTGCCTCTCGGTAGCAATAGATCGGGAAGCATCCTGAGCTCCGATTCGGAACTTGTAAGAAGCACCTCTCGGGAGTTCGGTAACGAATACCCCATACTTCCCCGTCTTACCTGTACCGCAGGTGAACCCCATGGTATGCGTGATATAGTGCACCAGCTCATTCTGATCGGCGAAGTGCAAGTTGCGATCTTTCGCGAACGTGTCCAGCTCGCAGAAGTAGCCATCAATGTAAGCATCGCTGTAGCCCTTACTTTCGACCTGGCTGGAGTGCTTCACATTGACTGCTTCAGTATCCTGGCACTTGTTATCCCCACTCACCCTGTCTTTCCTCAGGCGAGCGTGACGCGTGGCCTCCTCTTCCGAACTGTTGATCTTGTCAATCACGTCCTTCTGGGAGGTGCCGCGTGGATAATACTTACCCCTCGTGTACGAGCAGCTGCCGCACTCGTGGCCCATGGGGACCCTCACACCGCTTTTGAGTACTTCTGACTTCGGCCAAAACAAAGGAGCGCCGTCTGGAGAATCACGGTCATTCATGTGCGTGTTCTGATGGCAGGTATTGCACGTGGCGGCTCTGACATTGATCCACTTGTTCGCAGGAGGCTGGGGCTTCTCCTCCGTTGCTTTCTTGGCAGCCTTCTTCGGGGGCTGTCCGCCAGAAGCAGATCCACGCTTAGGCTTGCCCATCGTTCACCACTCACGGGCTCTCGGGGTGGCGCGCGGCTCCGGTGGAGCCAACAAGGCCGGCAGGATCGCCAACGAAGGCTTGGGCCCAAATGGCTACGATACGTGTTCTTGGCCCTCAATTCGTGAAGGAAACGCACTGTCGTTGTTGGCTCTCCCCAACGGGTGTCCTTATTCGCCAACGCCCGTCTTCACTTTCGAGGAAAGCTGACAACTCTTATGCGACCCCCTTGGGTCTGGTTCGGGGGATGTAAAAGTAGCGACCATGCCGCTAGCTCTCGCAATGTGCCTCAATATGGCTCCCAGACGGCCCAAGATTGCTATCAAGATTACGACAACTTTCCGATGTGGGCTTTTGGTTCCAGAGAGCAACATGGGTGGGCCAGACACAGGGGTAAGGACAACAGTTGGCAGGGGGCACGCCCGAAACCGCACGGAGGAAACCTAGTGGACATCCATTATAATGAGAAGCAGCATGGGTCATGAGTCACTACCGACAAAATTATTTGAAGGCGCGTGCCATGTAAACATACATCGAAACAACCGTTAAACACAGAGTTTGCGGTGGCCCTAGACCTACTCGCGTTTGACCTTGCGAATATTACATATTTGGCTCGTCGACTGTGAAAAATACATTGGGAGGTAAGTGCGGCTTGGTGCCTCGGTGGGTCAGTTTAGTGGCTGGGGGGGGCGCAGTCAAGACGAGTGGGTGGATGGTTGCGTCAGTGAAGAAAGTTCGCCAAGAAGTGTGCATGGGTGGTGCAGTCAAAAAAGGGTTGGTACATGGTGCATGTTCAACATATACGTGGGTGGATGTTACTGTCAAGGCGAGTGCGCGTTGCTCGGCCAAGCAGAATGGTTGAACGATTGTGTGAAGAAGCGTGGCTGAAAGTAGATTCGTGGCTGAATTGTAAGGTTTGAGCTAAAAGAGTTGGTGGACTGCAAAGTAATGGCCCTAGAGTGGTTGGTATGTTGTCAGGCAAGTGCCGTGGATGGCATTGCTCAAAGAAAGTAGGTGGGCGATGTTGTCGTGGACCATGGAGACGAACAGGCGGCGCCGTCAAGGTCAGGCAAAGATTTGTTGCTAAAGTGATGCAGATGAATGCAGAGGACATGAGCTATTGGGCCAAGGAGCGCAGACGCGCGTTTGGATGGATCTTTCAAGACGAGTGGGGAGATGGCTGAATTGAGCAGGACATGTGGACGCTACAACGCACATGGGCAGGCTGGTGATTCGATCGAGAAGACAAACCACGCACGTTGTCCAACAGAGCACAGCTGGCAAGTAAACAGTTCTCTCATGAGGAGTCGGCGCAGTGCGTGGCTCAGTTGTGGATTAGCCCGAAAGGCTGGTGAACGGCCCAGTCAGGTGTTTGTTTGGCTTGTTCGTTTGAAAAATGTTGGTGTGTAGTTGACGCCACAAGCTCGGGTGAATGGCATGCGTCCAACAGAGTGGATGGTTCAACCAAGGGAAGTGGACGGCTCAGTCATGAAGATTGGTTGGCATAGCAAAGACGAGTGGACCATCAGCCAAGCAGCGTGGGTGGTTGTGTCCGTCAAGTGAGATGGGGCGGATCTTCCAGTCATGCAGAGCGCGCGGTTTATCGATCCAGGGAGAGCGGGCGGGCGGCGCAGACATGAGAGCGCGCGCGTGGCTCAGCAAAGAAGGTTGGGCGAACGGCCCAGTCAGGGAGAGCGAGCGCGCGATTCATGCGCGAAGGCAACTTGCATTGTTCAAGTACAGCAACTCGGTTGGTGCTTCAATTAAGACGAGTCGTTCGTTGGTTCCAGAGAGGAACTTGAACGAGTGGCTCAGCTCAAGGGAGTGGGCGCATGGCGTTGCCAAGCGCAACGAGCTTTGGAGTACCCAGTCAAGAAGCATGTGGTTCGACCATGAAAGGGGGCATGGGTTAGGCAAGAAGCGTTGATGGATAGCTCAGCCAATCGAGCGCATGAATCAGGCCACAGGGACAGATGGTTCAGCCAGGAATGGTGGGCGATCGGAGTGTTCAGTCAAGACGAATCGGTAGCTGGTTCATAGAGGGGAGTGAGTTGGTGGTTCCGTCAAGAAGATTTTGTTGGTGAGTGGCCAAGACGGGGTATTGAATCGGCCACTCAAGAAGAGCTGTTGGGTTGCCCAGCCAGAGGGTGGCGGGCGGCTCATCCATGGAGAGCTCTTGGCTCAGCCAACAAAAGAAGGCGCGTGATGAACCAAGAGCGGTTGCGTCTGGCGGATCAAGCAGTGAAAAAAATCTACATGCCGTCAAGAAGCCGTTGTGAATTGTTCTGAGTGGCAAGGTGGGCGGAGGGCGCCTGATGGGAGAATGTTAGGACGCTTCAGTCTACAAGAGTGGGGGAGTGGCCCAGCCAAGATTGGGGCGGCGGTCGCAAGTTGAAGAAGAGTGGCCAGGCGGCTAAGTCAGGACGGATGCGCGCATGGTTCAGTCAACGCGCGTTGGTAGAAGGTGTTGCCAATGATAACATATGGCACGTTAAGCCAGAAGCTCGGAGAAGCGTCTCGGAAGCCCGCGCACGTGCCCTGGCGACGTGCCGTCGCGGGGTTGCAATGCTCAGAGAATGTATGATGACACGCCCATGTGTGAAATGGGAACTCAGCTTGCGCGCGCGGGCCAACAGCGGGGTGGCACTTGCCGCCCAACCTTACAGTCGCAAGGGGTAGCGCGAGCACAAGGTTGCACGCGCCCTTCTCGGCCGCGTAGCGACCCAAAGGCGCCGCGCAAATAACCGCACTCTGGACGAGCGATCGGCGATTCTGCCGCGGTTCTGGAAGCGTGACGCGCGCTATTTGTCGCGGCGCTACAGCTGTGGGGCACCGCGTGAAGTTCCTGCTTCCAAGAATTTTAGCTGCGCAGCATTGACATGCGGCGCCGAAGATGGCGAGCTTGGAGTCCGTTGCGCTGTCGTGGATGGATGGCGCGACGTTAGCCGCGCGGACCGCGCTGGCGCGCGGTCTTCGCCGAAGGGCTCCACAATTGTCAGGCGCGCGTTTAGAAGCACAGCTGACGTCGCGCGGCGGACGTTATCTGAAGCTTGCCGACCAAACACTTGCGCGGCCGATGCGCTGCCCAATGCACATTTCTAGAGGTCAAGAAGCATCGCTGGTCAGGAACGAGCGCGGCCCGCGCGAGTAGAACTTCGCCCCCCGCGTCGCTGCGCCGCATCCGAACAATCATCGCGAGGTTAGATGCATTTGCACTGCGATCGAAGCGCGATCGAGCGCGCACTTCGCGCACGCCCAGCACATTGCCGTGCGAACAGTCGCACCGAGGTCGCGCGACATGACTTCGGATATACTCAACGACGCGCATGCAACCACTGCGCCACCTCGTCGCGCGCATGGTTGTCGCGCTATCGACGTTGTAAAAACTCGAAGAAAACGTCCAATTCAGGTGCGATTCAGGTGTCATTCAGGTCAATTCAGGCGTGATTCAGGCGAAAATCAGGTTTATTCAGGCCAATTCAGGTTTATTCAGGCCATATTCAGGTTTATTCAGACCAATTCAGGTTTATTCAGGCCAATTCAGGTTTATTCAGGTTCTGCTGATATGGATGGATGGCATGTTCTTAAGCCCCAAGTGGCTACAGTACTTCAACTCACAATCGCGTGCATGTTGCATGGATGTCCGCACGCCTCCTCAGCGCGGCACCCTCGAGGGTGCAAGCTGGCCTTAGCAACTTGCACTCGTCCGTAGCTCGAACTCGTGGCTCCAGCGCATCATCGGGTGATCAGTCCGATCGACGCTGAAGCGAAAAGTGTACTCTGGATACGCTCCGCCAGAGCACATTAAAACCAAACGCGTTGTACCGGTCTTTGCCTCTGTTGCTGCCTGCAGCTGTCACTAAAGCGGGCTGTGGCCTACAGCCTCGCGCCAGCTACCTTCGTCGCCTGCGGGACCCTCTCAACCCCACGACACTTCTGGCAGGGGTACGAACCGATGCTGAGAACGATGCCTCGCATACGTGCAAGGGCCCTGACTGCCCTTGTCCTCGCAGCGCTTGGGTGCTGGCTCCACCTGCACGCCTGTGTCTCGAAGGCATACGGTCACCTCACGGCGCTCCTCACGGCGCTCCTTCAGCACGTGCCTCTCGATGAGCACGCCCGTCACAATCCCAATGAGGGTCAGGATGACCATCATGAACGCGGTGAACTGCATGCCACCGCCCTGTGACTCGCTCCCGCCTGCCGAGCAGGTGGGCTCCACGACCGTCCCGTCGGCGGTCTGCGCCGCTGCGAACAGCAGCAGCGTCGCCAACACCTGGCTGGCCTCGTCCGTCCCGAAGCCAGCGATCTTCCTGCTCACGATCCCGAGGTTCCTCATGCAGGTCTGCAGCGCCTCCTGCTCCAGCGGCTTCGTGCCTGCATCACTCGGGTTCTTCTTGCCGTCCACTCTCTCAACCTCGAACTGCTTCTCCCTCAGCGCCTGCTGGTGCCAAAGGTACCTGGTCTGTAGATGCCGTACACGCCCGCAGCCCACTCTGTGGATCATCCCACGGGCCGCGTCTGAGTCCGTGCGAATGATCAGCCTCACGTCTGCTGGAACACCAGCTCCAAGCTCAGCGATCTCGAGCATCACCTGCTTGACCGTGATGCCGCGCGCTGCCGCTGAGCCGATGGCGTAGAACTCCGACTCTGCGCTGCTGAGTGCAACAGCGCCCTGCGTGATGCTCCAGCTCTCGATGAGATGACCAGCGCCAGGATCTCCGACCTGGATGGTCCCCGCCGACGTGCTCTTGCATGTCTGTACGTCCCC